GTCCGTTGTGTGCGGGTGCAGCGCTTGCCGATGGTTCATGTGGCGGGGGTTCCCAGCAGGGTGGCACCCTGCCCACGACCGATCGATGGCTGCAGCTTAAGTAACTATTTTTATTTTTCAGCGGTATTTTTTTCCCCCATCATACCTCTCGCCCTTGGTGCTGCAAGCACGCATGTCTGCGGGGACCAAGGCCGCCTCCTGGCTCCGTGGTGGCGGGACGATGGACGTGGTCTCTCCCTGGGAGGACAGCGCAGAGCTGCAGGATCAGCTGTGAGCTCCACGCTACCGTGGCAGCCAGAGGCTGGCAAGCACAGAGCGGCGTTTTCAAGGTTTGATCTGGTTCCTATAGAAACTGGAGGTTGCTCCCGCCTGGTGCGGGTGCCAGCAGCTGGCCGAGCGCCCTGGGGAGCAGGGCAGCCAGGGATGGGTGGGAGCGGGGTCCGGTGCTGCGTCGGTGCTGCTGCTGCCTTTCCACGTCCCTTGGTGCCCCCCCCGGCTTCCTCGCTCCCCCCCTCTCCTCAGCGGGGCTGTGCTGGGCCCTGCCGGGGCTCTGCATCCCCCTCCAGCCGTGCGGGGCTCTTGGGACCCCCATGGGATGCTCCTTGCCCTGGCAGGGCCCTTTGAGGGACAACGGACCCGTTCTCCCTGCATGTCGGGTCGCGTGCCGTGGCATGGTGCTGCAAGCCACGCGGTCTCTGCAGTGACGCCTCTGCTCTTGCCCTTCTCACCAAAAATCACCACTGGAGAAGCCTGAAAACCTACAAGGATGTCCTGGGGAACCCCTCTGCCCTGGTCGATGTCCTGGGGGGGGAACAGCCCCAGGACAGTGGGTCCCATGGGCTCCTGAGCCCTGAGGGGCTGGACTTCTTTCCTCGCTGCCTGGCACTGCAGGCTGTCCCACCACGGGCGGGTGGCAGAGGTCCTTGTGCCACTTGGTGGGCTCCCATCTCCAAGAGAGGTCTCCGTCTCCCCTGGGTGCCAGAGCAGCTCCTCTCCTTTCCGGCAGCAGGCGGCAGGAGGCTGCTGACCCAGTGAGACCCTCCGCCTCGCCTGCCCTGTGCAGCTTGCTCCGGAAGGATGATCGCAGCCTTCTGCAAACTACCTCATCCCTGGAGCAGGGGCCAAGCATCAACCATGGCGCGAATCCAGAGCAGTGTGGGGGAGCCCTGCGCTGCCACCCTCCTCTGTGCCCCACGCTGGCACCCAAACATGCAGCTCAGTGCTGCCCAGGTGCCTGTCTGGGGCTGGCTCTGCCCAGGGGGGACAGAAAAGTGCCCAAAAGAGCCCCCATTGAGGACAAGCTCACTGTGTGTGTTGTCCCCTTGCCGTGCACTGCTGTGCCCGAGCCTGGCCCCGGCCAAGCCGGCAGCAGGAGGCTTCTTCCCGCTGCCCTCACGCTGCTGCCGGGTTTGTTCATCCTGGCAGCGTCCCGGGCAGGGCCGAGTGCCGGTGAGAGGAGCTGCGGGCTGGGTCCCGTGGCCTCCTTTCCGCTGCTGCCTGAAGAGGACAGGGATATTTTAGGAGAATGTGACAACACCAAGCTCCCGTGTTTTCACCCCCCTTCCTACCTGCCCGCTGCGGCAGCGTAGCTCTGCTGGCACCATACCGGCCTCCGTGGGACCTGCCTGGATGGGTGCAATGGGGACGGCGTGCACTGCCTCCCTGTTGAGGAGCTGAACAACCCTGTCCCGCAGCACTGGGTGCCTGCCCCGGGCTCCTGCCATGCCCGGCTGGGTGCCGAGGCTCGTGCCCCGGCGCTGCCCCACTGGTTGGTGTGGAGTGTCTGTGGGAGCCTGAGCTGCTACGGCCTCATGTCAGCTCGAGGGGAAAGGGCCAAATCCTGCCCCACCAGTGTGCTGCTTCCTGGGGGATGAGGGTCCCCCATAGTGCAGCTGCAGAGGCCACCTGCAGTTACCACTGGCACCCGCTGGCCTTCGCCTGGGGTCCCTGTTTGTGGGGATGAGATGGATTTGGCCCATGGGTCCCCATGGCACTGCCCACCCCACATCAGATCCCTGATGGGAGCTGCTGCTCTCCGGGCATGGGGGGTGCAGGACATGCTGCTGGCTGGGGGCTTACCAAAGCTGGGGGGGGGTCAAAGGCTGTCCCACAGCATGTACCTGCCAGGAGTGGGGAGGGGAGGGGGTAGCGCTGGTCCCTTTCTGCCTACCACCAGCCCCCCACAAGCCCATCTGTGGCCCCACAGCACCATGGTGGGGGGTGGGATGGGGGCACAGTGAAGATGCTGCCAGACCCCTACTTTGGGGATGGAGAGCAGGATGGTACCCAGGGGCCAACCCCTGGCCCCTTGGAGGGGAGCAGGCTGGGCAGCAATGCTGCACCCCTTGGCTTTGCCAGCCCCCCTCTCCGCTGCGTTGTC